CACTTCATATAAAATGTGCACTTTTTTTTTATTTTTCATTTTTCCTTTTATTTTTCGTTAAAAGTACGAATTGTGTTTAAAAATTGAAAAAAAGAATAATTAAAATTATATAGAGAAATTTAATTAGTAATTTTTTTTTACAATAATTAAATACAATAATGTAAATATTATTATCTATATATTAATTTAATATTTTATTACTTCTAATTTAAATATGTAATTAATGATAATTATGTTCGTAATTAATAAGTTTTTTAATTTTTTGAAATTCTTTACCATTTTTAAAATTGATTTAATAATTTTTATTTCTTATTTAAACATGTAATTAACACAACTCAATATTATAAATGTTTATGATAAAGTCATATTCAAACATTTTTTTCACATATCACAAACCTTATATATCAAATAGAATCTAATTATTTAACTGACTTATCTAAATATATCAACGATATGAATATAATTTATATATTCCCCTAATTATTTTTTTTCTATTTTATTTATTATTTAAACTTATTTGAATGTATTTTTGTTATAATATAACTATGGGGTTTAAATGAATTTTATACATATTTATTACAATATTTATAATTAATAAAATTATAACTAACCAAATTTATAATATTTTTTAAAATAAAAAATTTGATATAAATTTTATGATATTGTATAAAGTATAGAATATTTCTTTATTTATTTTTCAATTAAATTATTTATTTTAGTTTAAGAAATATGTATATACTATGTTATATATTTATATATTCAAATAAACATATATGAATTTGGAGTAATTTGTACAAATTTATTTGAATAAATTTTAAATTATTATAACTAAAAAACAACAATTATTTCAAATATGAACAAATTGTTAAATATAAAGATATATTTTGAATCTCATAACAATTTTTATTTTTTTTTTGAATTTTTAAAATTTATTTTTATTTTATTTTTTAGATATTTTTTTTTCTTTAATTATGAATTATGATTTAATTTAGTTTTGAATAAGATTTATTTTGAATTTATTTATAAAATTTCATAAATTTTATAAGTTTTGAATTAGAATTTTATCTTGATTATATAATAATTATTTATGTTCCCCTAATTTTTTTCTATTTTATTTATGATTTATATTTGTTTGATATATATTTAAAGAAAATATGATATATATTTTTATCGTAATAATGGTAGTAAATAAAGATTAATAGTTAAATAATTTTTTTTTTATACACAAATTAAGTAGAATAAATTTAATGGAAAAATAAAAAAGAAAAATATGAAAAAATTAATAGATAAAAATAACAAAACCTTTGGCAAATGTTGAGCATATTCGGAAATAACTACATTCATGGTCATAATTGAATCAATATACATATATATATATATATATATATTACGCATTTATAGAACATCACAATGCTTATATAGTAAAAAAAATAAAATTAACTACTCCCTCCGTCCCATGTAATATGAGTATATTATTGTAGACACGAGAATTTAACTAAAGTACAATTAGTAAGTAATAAGAGGTGTATTAGTAAAAATAATTATTATTTAGTAAAAATAATTATAGATTAAGATTAAGATAAGTAAATAATTTAATTAAAATTAAGAAAATTATAAAATTTAAAATTTAAAATGCTATTAAAGTGTATAATTATATTTTCAAAAATAGAAAAGACAAGTTATGTGGGACGGACGAAAATAAAAAATAAGGACAAATTATGTGGGACGGAAGAAGTATTAAAAGAACATAACTCAATGGATATATTCTTTGAATTTTGAGATTAATAACAATTAAAAAAAAATTAACATTATATCAATAATTAGATTTTAGTTTATGTATATATATATATAAAGTCTATCTTTTTTTCTTTTTTTTTTTTTTTTTTTTTTTTCGTCTGCTAAACTTATGCATTATTTATCTATAATAGTCAATTTTATTAGTCTATAATTTAATTATTCTTACTTAACAAATAATAATAAATTTGTCACATTTTGTTTTACTAGCCTCACTATTTTATTATTAACTTTTTAATAAATTATTTATAATATCCTCGTGTTATTACATTAAAATATTATTATTTTTTTAGTATTCGTATTCAGATATTATGGTAGAATTAGCTCGGACGGATGGAGTATTATTTTAATATATCGACTTCAAACACATCTTTATTGGTGTGCAAACTCAAGTCCCACATTGAAATATTTTAAAAAAAAAATTACATCTTATCGGTTTCATATAAATTTCACTAGTACGAAACTTTTTGAAAAAAAATTCAAAAATAAATTCATACAATGAAAATGGACAATATCAGTGTTATAAATTTTGGGGAAAAATAATGAGATTGTCTTATTGATCATCAAAATAAGGAGCCTATATATACAGGCAATACAAAACATAGATAAACTCAAATCTAAGTAATCTAACTTATGAATAAGATCAAATCTAGATATAAATTTACTAAATCTAAAACTGAATATCTAAAATATCTCGACAATCAGTCAGTAACATTTTTTTAGTCCCAAAATTTTTGTAAAGGCATTGAGTCAAAGTACAACACATTTTGTCCAACAATCTAATATGACACCCATCACTATTTAAGTATTTGGACACGGAATCCAGCCGAATTCCTACAATTCATATATTTTTCTAATAATATTTATTTTTTATTAATAAAAAATAATTTATTATTTAAACTATTGTATCTTAATATAGATATATATTTTTTTTATATACAAAATTCGATAAAAATACACTCAAATATTAATAGGATATCTCATTATCTAAAGTGGAGCAAAGGTGTTAGTGCGTTACTCCCTCCGTCCCCGTGTAATATGAGTGTATTATTGTAGATACGAGAATTTATGTAAAGTATAATTAGTAAGTTTTTAGGAAGTGTATTAGTAAAAATAATTATAGATTAAAATTAAGATAACAGAATAGTTTAATTAAGATTTAAAAAAATTAAATTTTAAAATTTAAAATATGATTAAAATGTATAATTCATTTAAAAAGAAAAAAGACAAATTATGTGGGATAGACGAAAATAAAAAATAAGGATAAATTATATGGAACGAAGGGAGTAATTTTTATTTAAAGTAAACTATTTATATTACTAAATTGACAAAGTAACGGACGTTATATTAGGATATGTTTATTTATTTTTATATACAGTTATTTTAATGGTAAATAATAATATTAGTTATGATATTATTATATTATTTTTTAATAATTAATAATATTTATATTTTTAAAGTAAATCTAATATCTATAATTAAAAAAAATTAAAATATATGTTTAAATATTTAAAAATTATATAGCAATTATAAAATATATGCAATATGAATATCATTTTGTAGAGAATAAAATCTTCTATTATAATTAACATAAATCAATTTTATAAAAGATGTGTAGTTTTAAATATAGATAAAAATATTTATTTTTTTTTATAAGAGATGTAGAAATAAAAGGGTTTTAAGTGGATCCTACGTCATTTATGATATTGTATGTTATGTAGCTAATTAAGTTGATTTATATTTGTTAAATATGTTTTGATTTAATAATTTTTACCAAAAATAGAAATGTGTCAATTGTTATGGGACAGACAAAAATGAAAATAGTGTCAAGTGTGGTGGGGGACAGAGGGTGTATGTTTTGATAAGTTTTCCTTAAATCTAATAATTTGTAAATATAGGTTTGATAAGACAAATTATACTAGACAAACTATATGTAGTAAATAAAACTTGATTTGTTTAATTGTGATTTGAAATTAATTTAACTACTACGGTCATAACTATTTGACTGGATATGAATTTTAGAGAAATAAGTAAAAATAACCTTTTTTCTTTTCATTTATAGTAAAAAGAAAAAAAGGTATTTTTTTTTTTTTCTAAAAGATACTCCCCTTGCACTCGTATCGTGTTCATTTTTTCATTTCCGTATGTTCCATATATTTTGTCATTTTTATTTTTTGTAAAAGAATTATAAATTTTAATATTTTAAATTTATAATTTTTTTTAATTTTAAGTATACTACTTAGTTGTTTTAATATTAATTTAAAATTATTTTTATTATATAATAATTATTTTTAGTAATATATATTTAAGTATCTACATGGGACATCGGGACCAATTGAGTATTCTTTTGCTAAATAAGAATATTTTTAATGACAACTAAAAAATAAATATAAACTTAGAGTGTGTTTCTTTACGCATAAAATTTCAAAAAATTTTTTATTTGAACTTTGCGTTTTAAAAAAAATATATTTTTTTTCATAAAATATCTCATCATACATTATTTTAATACAAAATTCAAACAATTTTTTTTTCTCACATTTATATAAATAAAAAACAAAAAAACCCTTAAATAACAAATAAACTAAAATATTTTTATTATTAATCTACAAAGGGTGTGTTTGTTTGGGGTTTTGGATTTTGAGTTGAGATTTGAATAGTAAAAATTTTGAATTTGAATAGTGGTATGATGTGATATAAACAAGTGTTGATGTGATGTTTTGAATATAAAATTTATTTTTAGTATAATATAAAAAATGAAAAATAGGTGTTTGATTTAATGTTTTTAGATGAAAAAAATGGTATAAATAGTAAAATTTTATAAAATTCTTACAACCGAACACACCAAAATAGATAATATTGACTTAAATTTAAAAATTATAAACAAACAAATCCTATATGACAGATCGTCTATGAACTAGTATGATGACTCGGCCCCCAAAACTCGTAATCTTATCAGGAACCGACCGGTCCAGAAAGAATCTGAACCGTCAAAATGACTTCAGTGGACTCCAACGGCCGTCGTGACAGGAAACCCTAGACCTGCGAAGTAGGCGATTGTGGCTCCAAATACAGCATTTTTATATTCTGTCTGAAATTCAAACTCAGTGGCAGTTTCGAAAATAATTGGACAATCGTGTCCATTTGCGTATTAGGACGGTGGTTGGAATGGAACCGCTGCTATAATTATTATCGGCTCGCCTCTTATTACATTCTCTCTCGCTCACTGTTCAGCGCTAAAGGAAAGGGAAGAAAAAGGCTAAAAAATCTGTAAATTGTTTGAAGGTTTCGTCCGCATCCCAAATATTCTTCGACTCTCCAAACCAATCTCCTCTGACGCACAGGGAGCAGCCGATTATTCCATAATTGATTGCTGTTGGTAAGGATTTTTCTGGTGTTTTTGGTGTTGGATCGACGCGAAGATGTCGTTGAGGCCGAGTTCGAGGACTGAAGTCCGCCGGAGCCGCTACAAGGTTGCGGTGGATGCAGAAGAAGGGAGGAGGCGGAGGGAGGATAATATGGTGGAGATCCGGAAGAATAAGAGGGAGGAGAATTTGCTGAAGAAGCGCCGGGAAGGGCTTCAGGCGCAGCAGTTTCAGCCTACAGTCAACATTTCGCAGGTCGATAAGAAGGTAATTGATGCCGATGATATCCATTCGCTACTTACTCGCTTGTTAATTGGTTCAGAGATAGGGTTTGGATCTGATCCGTTTGGATTGATTCTCTGATCTGTTTATTTGCTGAATCTGCTGTTCGTTCGTTGCTAATTTGTACTTGGATTCGACTGTCTTCCTGTTTGTACTTCATGTTATATTCGATTGTCATCGTACCTGTAGTGGAACTCTCGAACGTAGTTATGACGGATTAGTTTAACTTTGTAACTCGAATTGCCCCTGCTAGCAATCCTTTTACTGAAGAAGATTACCGTAATAATGAAGATCACAACCCTTTTTGCCGCCTGCTGGTTCCTTTACCCTTGGAAGTTTTAATTGACATTTGCCTTTGATATTTGTCCTCAGTTAGAGAGTCTTCCAGCTATGGTTGCTGGTGTTTGGTCGAACGATGCTCAGCTACAGCTTGAGGCCACAACTCAATTTCGCAAACTTCTTTCGATAGGTATATAATGGAGATGACGAAGTTATTTGTCTGGATTTGTTTTGTTTAATTGCATGATGTTTACATCCAATCCTCCAACAGAACGTAATCCTCCAATCGAGGAAGTGATTCAGTCTGGAGTTGTTCCCCGTTTCGTAGAGTTTCTTGCCAGAGATGATTACCCACAGCTACAGGTTAGAATTTATGGTAAATTAGTAGTTGTTGCCAAAGTTGGCTTTTTATGTAAGTTGAATGTCTGCTATCTGTTTTTATAATGTGTATTACGTTTCTTCTTCACCAGTTTGAGGCTGCTTGGGCTCTGACAAACATAGCTTCTGGGACATCAGACAACACTAAAGTTGTGATTGATAATGGTGCTGTCCCAATTTTTGTGAGACTTCTTAGTTCTCCCAGTGATGATGTTCGTGAGCAGGTATATATTGCCAAATGTAGCCTTTTCAATTGATGATCATACCTGCTCCAGATTATGACATATGATCAGTAAATTGTCTTTATGTGGTTTATGTCTGATTTCTTTTAATTTTGTTTGTTGCTGTCGTGAAGGCGGTGTGGGCCCTCGGAAACATTGCTGGTGACTCACCAAAATGTCGAGATCTTGTCCTAGGTTATGGGGCTTTAATGCCATTATTGGCACAATTCAATGATCAAGCTAAGCTGTCTATGCTACGGAATGCGACGTGGACGCTTTCAAACTTCTGTCGGGGAAAACCACAACCACAATTTGAGCAGGCTTGTCCTTACGTTGGCTTTAATTTTATTGTAATCATTTTCCTCCGACAATCCATTTGTAACTGAAACCTAACATTTGAAAACTGTTGTACAGGTCAGACCAGCCTTGCCAGCTCTCGCTCATCTTATTCATACCAATGATGAGGAGGTGCTTACAGATGCATGTTGGGCACTTTCATATCTATCTGATGGTGTTAATGATAAAATCCAAGCTGTAATTGAGGCTGGTGTATGCCCCCGCCTTGTTGAGCTTTTACTGTAAGTGTCAGAGCTTTTTGATTGAAATTAAATATCTTTATTAGAATGCATATTCTTTGCACCCTTTATTGATTGGTTGACCTGTCTGTGGTTTTTAATTCGTATTGTGCTCTATCTTGTTGGGTTTTGCAGACATACCTCTCCTTCTGTTTTGATTCCTGCACTGCGCACTGTCGGTAATATTGTGACTGGTGATGATATCCAGACTCAGGTATCTGGCCTGAAATCTTGTAGCCATCATTCTGAAAGAATCTATACTATTCTTAGCATGAAAGAAATCACAAGTCTTTCGATAGTTGTATAGTTGGAAAAGTTTCCACATCATCTCTCTTTGTAGATTGCACACTGTTCTAACTCTATGTTGATACTAATCATCCACTCTTTTATAGCATCTAGAACTGTTTCTAAACAAGCATTGATAATTATGTTTATGTTTTAGGAATAATTTTGAAAGATAAAGAGCAGGCTGTTAGCAGATCATATCTGCACCCACTCTACAACCTTGTGCAAGGATGTTGTTCTACTTTTTTATTTTTCCTAATTATCTTTAATGGAGTTTCAACTTTCTTGTCAGGTTATCATTGATAACAGGGCTCTTCCTTGCCTGCTTAACTTGTTGACACAAAATTATAAGAAAAGCATCAAGAAGGAAGCTTGTTGGACTATCTCAAACATCACTGCAGGAAACAGGGATCAAATCCAGGTCTGAATGATACAGTGGAACTGTTTTGTTTCAAACTACCATGAATCATGTGTTTGAATAAGATGCAAGTTCCTCATTCATTGCAAACAGGATGTCTATGTTTATCAACTATCAAATCATCTATTATTCTGTTTCTTCTAATTGATGCCTAGGCTTCAATTCAATATTTCTTTTGGATAAAGCACATATTTGGTTATGTTCAAAAGAAACTTATTCGATCGTCCAATTTGATCTGACAGGCTGTTATTGATGCTGGTATCATTGCCCCCCTTGTCTCACTGCTTCAAAATGCTGAGTTTGAGATAAAGAAAGAGGCCGCCTGGGCGATTTCTAATGCTACTTCTGGTGGCACCCATGAACAAATCAAGTAACGACACTGGGACCATTTTGCTTTGTATTCTATATAACAGCCTACATTTTTTGAAACATTAAACAAACTGTTCTTGTCAGGATTTTGGTTCGTGAGAGATGCATAAAGCCACTATGTGATCTTTTAGTCTGCCCCGACCCGAGAATAATCACAGTCTGCTTAGAAGGTCTGGAGAATATTCTGAAAGTTGGAGAGGCTGAGAAGAACCAGGGCAACACTGGAGATGTGAATCTCTTTGCTCAGATGATTGATGACGCAGAAGGTCTTGAGAAGATTGAAAACCTTCAGAGTCACGACAACAATGAAATATACGAGAAGGCTGTGAAGATACTTGAAACATATTGGTTGGAAGAAGACGACGAGCAAATTGTCTCTGGTGATGCTGCACAATCTGGCTTCAATTTTGGAGGCGGCGATCCTTCTGTACCAACCGGGGGATTCAAATTCAGTTAAGGTGAAAACACCAACTTTCAGAAAGTTTCTTTATGTTCATCGTATCAAAATCAACATCTTCACACCGGCTGCAAAATTTTGAAATTTACAGGAATTATTGTGGAAGATGAAGGCAAATACGAATCCGGCTGGCTGAATTGTTGTTTGTTTTCTGGATTATGGAGTCGGGTGGGCAGTGTCTGTAAGATTATTTCCCATAAAGGTGCAAAATTTGGTAAGGATGGATGAATATAAGAAGTTGAATGCATGTTTGGTCATATGTAGTGCTTATATATAATATATATGTCGGCCTGTGTCGCATCATCAGCTAGTCAATGCGAGTTTTTTTGATGCAAACCCTCCCTGTTATGTACTAGTCTTCTTTGTCGTTATTTGGGGTCGAAATTGTAAGTTATTTATTCCATCTCATTGGAAAAGATAACTTAAATCTTATGTATGTCGTCGTTGTCGGTCGGAGTAAATAAAAATGAAAACAGAGTCATGGTCTTATGTAATTTTGTGGGTGCAGTTCTACTCAACTCTAGTTTATATACACATGAGGAGTTTTTGGCAAATGCATGGGATTTATTGTTTGTTTGTTTGTTTGTTGTCTTGGACTAATTTCTTTTTTAACCCTTCCTTTTTCTCCTTTTCTGTATACCCTTTAAAAAAGATGAAATTCTATTCTACCACAAAGAAGCTTTAACTTTAATTTCCAAACACGCCCCTGGTTACATTACAATATCCTTATGAAAGAGGTCATCTGCTAAAGAATGATAAAGCTTATGAAATCATCTTAAAGGTGGCAAAGAATAATAGGAGAACGAATTCTTGAGTGTTGATAGTAGTTTGTTAGTAGAAGACCATTCTTGTTATTTTTCGAGTGAATTTTGAATAAATTTTTGGCCGAACTTAATAACTTACTGATTAGATTTTATAAAATAAATCATATTATTATCGGACAAATCACACTAGACGGATTATGTACGACCGGTGGAGAGGTTTGTCTTCCGTCTTGGCAGGTCCCGGGACCTCAACTCCAACCGTCGTCTACCCATAACTCTGCCCCCCAAGTCTGCATAGTACGATATGGGATTTCACGAGTTTGAGACATGGACATAATCATAAATATAAAAGTGGTATCTGCAGTGGCCTTTTTGACCGAATTGTATACAAGGTCAACTCACAATTTTCGAAAATAAATAAATCTTAAAAATACTACTGCATAATAGCTACTACTACTGCTACTACACTTTGATAAATCTTTATACATATGAATTACACATGATCGTCAGCAGTAGCAGCAAGCATTAATAGTATTAGGGCTACGATCGACGGCTGAGATGGGTTTACAGAGAATTCAAATTTTGAAATCGAGAGAGGGGCATTTTCGTCATTCCACAGTGAACACTAGAGTCAGCTAGGGTTTCGTGTACCGCCCTCTGGCCGTTCCATGTGTTATATCCCGGCTGAGGTGTATTGTGTATGTAGGCGTATATATATGTGTGTATGTATGTATATACGTAAAACGTTAGATCCACCAACAAATACTCGCACGCACTCGCAATAACGGCTTGGAGCTTGGGAATCTCTCACTCCATCTTCCCCAAAATCACTCTGATCGCGGGAATCTGATGCGTTTCTTCATTTTATGTTGCAATTTCCTAGGGTTTTTTATCATGCCATGCTCTGATTGAAGCTCACCAGGAGAGATCTGCGGGTGAAGTTCGTTGTTGTTTTGCTTTTTTAGGATATGGATCTGAAGGAAAATAAGGTGAGGATTCGAGTTCTCATTTCCGGATCAATTTTTTTTTATATTATTAGCTTTTTAGAAATTGATTCTCATTCTTCGTTCATTTCTACTTCAGAAAGCGGATTTCGAGGGCAAAAATAGCAGTAGTTCTTCACCGAAGAGTTGCAGTGACTGTCACACTACGAGAACTCCTCTCTGGAGAGGCGGTCCTGCTGGACCGAAGGTAATGATCATTTGATCTACACATAGGAACATACAAAAGCGAAGATCGTGTCTCACAAACACGAATCGGATCGTGTATTTGATTTTATAATCTAATTGTTTGAATTTTTCAGTCATTGTGTAATGCCTGCGGAATCAAATACAACAAGAAGCGGCGGCAACTTCTCGGACTGGAAACTGGAAGAACAAACAAAAAGCAGAAAAGCAAAAGCGTGAATCGCTCCAGCAGCAGCAGCAGCGAAGTAAGAGAGATTTTGAAAATGCGAATCATGGCCTTGGGCAGCAACATGGTGCTCTCCGGTAAACTGATGAGCAAGTTGCGAGAGGAAGAGCGTGCGGCGGTAGTGTTGATGGCTCTGTCCTGCGGATCTGTCTATGCTTAGTAGACTGGTACGTCTCGCAGATCCAGTTGTACCTAGAGAATCAGATGGAGATTTCCTCCCCCCCTCACCCCCTAAAACAAAAAAAATATCAAAAAATTCTCTAACCAAATGTGTTATGTTAATTAGTTGAGGAGACAAATTAATTTTCTGGTGACGGATTAAGGATAGGGCTGATGCTGTAATGGCTAACAGTGATGTTTTGTAGTAGGGATTAATTTCTTAAATCTTTGCTTGGAATTTCTTGCTGGATTCTTTCTCGTGTCAATATTTGACTGTGACAGCAAATTTTCTTGGGCACTTCGTTGGTAGATTACGAAATTCGATATGGGTTTTTTGCAGAGTTTGTGGGCTTGGGCCCTAAGTTTTTGAATCATCAACTATTCATCTCTCTCTACAGCTGTCAAATCCCTCTGCCCACAAAGTTAGTTGTCTTTTTTTATTACCATGGTGGTGGTGGTGGTGGTTGTTGGTATGTTTGTTATAAAATATTTATTGCAATAAACGATGAATATGACATCAATTTTTGGTGCAGATAGCATAACATTGTTATCTACGAAATTGATTAAGAGATTTTTGATGTTTATGTGTAATTTGTATACTTGTAATTTAGGTAGAATTTAAGATATTAGTAAATAATTATTTCTATTAAAATAAGAAAAATATATTTTTGAGTAAGATAAATAAAAATAATAAAAAATGTACTGAATTGATAAGAATGGAGTATATAGTAATAAAATAAATGCGAAATAAATTTGATTATATTAATGAAAAATCAACAAAAATCTAAAGACAAGTTTTGACTATGACTTGATTTTAGGCTAGCTGCAAATCACCAACAAAAACAATTACACATAAAACACGACATATGTAATCGAATCGGGACCTAAACCGAACATTCTTCACCGAACATTTTTCAAATAACTATCAGTTCAAGAATTTATTACACTGATTAATAGTTCAAAAAATACTAATCACGAGTTCAAAAAATAAAATTAAAATAATTAATTAGTATAATTAAAATTTTAAAAATTATAAATTAATTTTTTAAAAATAAAATTAAAATGTATAATTTTTTTTTTTTTTTTTTAAATCACAAAATAAAGAGTGAGAGAGGTGGAGTATTATTATTATTATTATTATTATTATCAGCCTTGCCAACAAACTTTATTATCATCATATCATGGCTGGCCCCCTTCACAAGGCTGTGTTTGGATAAACTATAAACTACAGAATTATATGCATTCATTAATAAGCAGAAGCTCATTGTATGTGTTCCACCAACCAAACGGCACCCTATTTTTATTGTAACCACACACAGACATTGTTATTTGTTGAGGGTTGAAGTGCAGCACCCAGCATTAATGGCTGCTGGCCTGGCGATTAATCCAGGCTCCCGGGACCACAAAGCCGGGATGATCTCCACCGTCTACGGCGCCCACGTGAACGGCGTGGATGATGGTTCCCAAAGCATTGCTTCTCCCACCTGTTTTCTCCATCTCTATTTGATCTCAGAAATTAAAATTCCTTTTCTGTAATTTCTTACAGATTTTGAGTAAATCGGAAAATGGAAGGGATTTCGGCGGTGGTTTACAGAGGAATCAGAGGCTACTGGCGGCGGCGGAGCTACCAGCGCCTCCGCGCCGGCGACGGCGACGGCGGCGCGAACCGGAGGCGGCGGTTGTGGAAAATAAAACTGACGCCGCGGCTGAAGCTGAAGCTCCGATTCTCGCCGAAGAAGTTCCTCCTAGGGCTGCGGGATGCGTACGTTAGCATGATGATGAGAGTCGCCACCACGCGCGCGATCGGCGGCGGCAGCTACGGCGGCGATGTGTTCGGAATGAGAGCCGTTAAGGAGTACGACGAGCGGACGATCGTCGAGATCTACAAATCGATGGTGGTGGCGCAGGGACAGCTCGTCCCCCGCGACGCCGCCTGGATTTGCTCCGGCGCCGCCGCCTGCCGACGGTAGCGATGAATTAAATTAAATTAAACCACGTGCTGTGTTTTTACTAGGGTTTGCAGTGAAGTGAAATTAGATCAATAATCATGTTCTTGATTCCAGATTTTCAATTCCATATCTTATTTCTTATATGATAATTATCGATGGATCGATTAGATGTTAATAGAACTACGATTTATAAAGCGATGAAGATGAACTGACATTGAGATTGGGACAGAACAAATTCAGATTGGGGCTGATTCTTGGAGCTCCCGGGAGCGGACCACCGGATGGATCTGCACAACTTAGTTTGTGTTGATTTGTCTCGATGGTGTTCGAGTCCTGGGAGCTCGGGGAATTGACTTGTTGTAGGTTAGGCCAAAAATTAAAGGCTGTTGCTTGTTTTAGGACAATATTATGTCATGTTTTGTATGTGCTGTTTGATTATGTAATTATCGAAACATTACCAAAACCATTTTTCTATAGATCCTGTCTTGTTTTACTTATTACTCACTCCGTCCTCGATACAGAGTTTGCTACACTATAATATAAATAATTATAAATTAAAATTAAGATAACTAATTAATTTAATTAAAATTTAAAAAAAAATTAAAAAATTAAAAATAAAATTAAAGTGTGTAGTCATTTTCTAAAAATAAAATAGACATGGTACGTGGATCGGATATAAACGTGGACATGATATCTGAGACAGAGGGAGTATTTTTTTTAATAATAAGAAGAAATTAAGGGTATTTATTTGAATATTTAATTTAATCAATACTCTCTCCGATCAATTATGCTACAATGTTTGAATACAAAGATTAAAAAATCGTCATATTTTAATCTAAGAGTAGAATGAGTAAAAAATAGGTAAAAATTAATATGAAAATATTATAGAAAAATTAATAATAAAGTAGGTGATGTAAATGAAAAAATAATAAATTGATTATTATTTATTAAAATAAAAATAATATATTTATAAGTGAATAATATTTTACTCAAAATTTTGAATATTAATATTACATGAGCTTACGGTGTAATATAAAATTAATGATATTTATTTAATATATATTAAATTATAAAAGTATTTATTATATTAATAATTAGTATAATTATTGAATTAGAAAATAATAGAAACGGAACAAAAATAGAAAATAATATTAGAAGAGAGGGAGTACTACAAATAAGCAAAAGTAATTTTGGTTTTAAATTTTTAAATAAATAAATAAACTCTAACAGCATTAACAGAAGATGCTGTCGGCCCACGCCGGTGTTTTATGGGCTCAATGGGCTGCTATAATTTTTTATCAATTATTGTTTGGGCTGGCCCATTTAAAATGACCCTAGTAATAGTTGGTGTATGTAATGTCCACTACCAATATAGAGCACTTTTATTCTTGGACAGCAATAAACTTCTTTTTTTGGTATTAACTAACTACACTAACGTATGCATGTTAGGCCATTAGGGAAGCACTTCGTCCCTCGTTTAAATTTATTCTCTCTATTTTTTTTATTTTTTTTTTCATTCAAATTTATTCTCATTTTTTTTAGTAAAAAAAATACTATTTTTTTTTACCAAAAAAAGTAAAAATTTTTATTCTTACGTATTCTTTTTAAAACCCGTGTCCGTTCAAATGAGCACACAATTGGATGACGAAGAGAGTATATAATTTGAAATATTTCGAATATAAAATTGTGCCATATTAAAATAAAATTTAAAACATGAGTAGAAAACATGCCCAAATTCAATAATCCTTTTGTCGCTAAATTTTGTCCCAAATATTTTTTTCCACAAATGAATCACTGTGTCTGTGATTGCCACAGGTGTTCAATTTATTATTATTATTATTATTATTATTATTATTTTCATTTATAATTTTGGAAGGTTTATTGTCTTTTGTGAGATTTAATAAAATATGAGTATGTTAATTATAAATGAATTCATATTGTGACCGCGTTTGATGCAGTCGGCCCAGCCCGGCCCATTTCCTTTCAACAAATTTCCAGTTATAAGCTTACACTCTTGTCATTTGTTTGGGTTCAATAAAAGCAAAATTTCATTGTCCTCATGTAGCCAACTCAACATTGGAGTATATGTAGTACCAACATGATGGTATTTTAAATACTAAATTTAGAATTAAAAAATTATTTAATTTGTTATAAATAAGTGTATACATAATTTTGTATATATTTATAATTAAAATATTACATCAAACACCTCATAAGATCTTCTGTCTATAAAAAATTCTCTATAGACAATTTTTCTTTTTTTTATGAGATAAAAATTCTCTATAGATAAAAAAAATTCTCTATCAGATCTTCAATCTAAAAAAAATTTCTACGAGTGTATAAGTAAATTTTATGAGAATGCTATAGTTAATTTTTTTTTTTAAAATTATATAAAGTCCGTATTCAACAGATGTTGGAAATTCTCAATTGGATAACTCTGTTGGAGATAACCCATGTATGGAAGTGAGAGTCAAGTTATGTGGAAGGTATGTTTCTGCCAACGATTATTTTGTCAGCATTCCGATTGGTATTGTAGTATCAGTTTAAATTGTATTACTTACAACATCTTCTGGCCGCGTGATGCTTCGATTAAGTACCGAGATATTTTCAAATCAAAATTAATGAAGGAAGGAAGCAAGTGACTCTCCGTACAAGATGATACACGCCGATGGCATGACTGAGATGAAGGTATATTAATTAATTATTTAAAATTTTAACATACTAATTTATATTTACTTCCATTTTTTCTGACATTTTTGTATTATGTATATTCTAATCAATGCAGAAGTACATCATGTGGGATCCGGCTCGTGACGAAAATGTCCTATTGAATCTTAATAATAGGTCACAAGAGACCTATAACAAGTGGATGAACGATATTCGAGGTGGACGAAATAAAATCGCTCATGAGTTTATTCCTGTTGTAGTGTTCAGTGCTTGGAAAAGGGTTTGGAGCTCCAATGAAGCAAAAAAAAAAAAAAAAAAAATCGAAGACTGCCAAGAATAACATATGCCAAAGCAATTTAGCAGATAAGCCAGAGTCATGCATATTGGGGGATCACGCTTGTTCATGGAGACGACAAACTAAAAAAGTGAATGACAAACTACTTAACAATAAAATTGATTGTGAAGTATTGCATTACCAAGATGCCGAATAGAATGTACACATTTTGTTTCAAACAGAAAATATGATTTCCATATAAAATGGATAAATAATAAAACAATGATATGTTTGAATAAAAAAATCTATATGTGAATTGAGAAAATTAAAAAATATATATAATAAAAAATACTCCCTCCGTCCACAAATTAATATCCTACTTTCCTATTTGAAATGTCCAACAACTATTGTCCTATTTTATTTTTTAAACATAAATTTTATATTTTTACCCTTTATTTATTTATTACTTTTAATTTCTACCATACACTTAAGGACAAATTTTTGTCAATTTATAACAAAAAGACAATCACCTAAAAATCCGTGTAAATATACTTTAGGACAATACATTACAAAAAAATAATACTATATTTGTAACAGAATTCCGTCCCAAAAGTTCACGTAGCTAACGTAATTATATTTCTAATTCTATCTCTAATGTCATTAGCAACGGAAAAAGTAGATTTAGAGACAAAAAAAAAATTTTGTTACAAAAATAATTTTTTGTTATAGTGATAGAAATTGAACGGAGGAAGTAATAATCAACACTTCCTACATTGATGTGCTAGCTAAGACATGGTTGTTAACTCTTGTTGATTATTATTTAGATTTTATTATCATCGGAGGATATTAATGATTTTGTTGCCTTATCAAATCCCTTGGCGATATGATTTTTTTTCATTTTTTTTAATTTTTTTTTAAATATATCATCGATACAATTTTTATATATAGTTTACTTGTTTGGTTATACACTAATCAAATTTTTCGATAACATAGATTTTTCTTACATTTTAAAATATATATTACATAGTATTGACACAAGTGCTAATTAATTATTCTTTTCATAAAGATTTTACTTATTCAAAACTTGTATGAATATACTATTTATTATGAATACATTTATGAACGAGGTTTATCTTCAACCATAGAACTTATGGTATGATCAAATCCTCAGAACATATTTATTTTTTAATTTCAAAATATATTTTACATATCATTGATTTATTGACATGATTTTATAATTATGTAAAGTTTTGTTTTGTAGATTCAACCACTTAATTTCTAGGTAAACATATATTCCCAATGCCATGGAGACTCGACTTATTTTATAAATTTTTTATTCTATTTGAGGTATTTCTCACAACTATATATATTCTTAATTGTTGTTAATGGATTAATTTATTTTATTTTATTTTAATAAATTCGATAATCGCGACAATTTTATTGAAATAAATTCGATAATCAATAATAATTTATCGAAATCAATTTATCAAAATAATTTTGATAATCACAATAATTTTATCGAAATAAATTCGATAATCAATTTATCAAAATAAATTTGATAATCACAATAACTTTATCGAAATAAATTCGATAATCACGTCGAGTCGAGGTAGAACATCTTTCCGTAAAAACGAATACGCCCCGGTAGTGCCTCCGGTTTGCGGTGTAACGTTCTCAAATATAAAACGACGTTCGTCTCCGAATTAGGTGGCACCCTAATATTTCGGAGCTCCGGCGAACTAAAATGAGGGAAATACGAGCTATGTCGAGGCTTAATATTTAAGAAAGAGTTGTCATTTGTACCAGACAACTCATCAGAAACTCCGTTGAAAAATATTTCCGGAGAGGAGAGGAGTGTAGAGAGAGATCTTCTCTTGGTTCTTATTTTTTCTCAAATGAGATGCACAACACCCTTTTTATAGGCATCCCACGGATGTAACGGTCGAAAATTAATTGCATGCCAATAAATTGCAAATAAATAGCAATTTTGAAAACTTACACACGTACCAAACATTTTCATGCAATTTAATTTGCATATAATATCATGCATTAATCACCACTATGAATTTAAAAATTTGAATTGCATAACCACCATGTGTAGTTAATCTTTGCATATAATGCATGTATGCACGTGTGTATAAACTAAACCAAAAGTTGTATTTTGCATTATGCATGCAATTATATTTGAAATGCATTATAT